CAGGGGATACTTCCACCTAACGTGCACCTGGCACCGCAATAAAGAATGCCTGCTTTCTAAAACTCCAAAGATGAGTCTTAGAGAGTTTTTGCAACTGGCTCTTACGGTAACAATAGCTAATAAGTTTTGGGTTTATATTAATTAGCTTGTATAGTTCCATAGACAAACACCCCCCCCATCTTTTTCTCTTGCTCCTTGGCTTTGCTTTGTCCCAGCTAAGAACAGCTGTGTCCCCGGGGCCTGCCAGCTCTGCTGGCAGACAAGATGATGATGTCCCAGTGGCCACAAGGCAAGCTTGCTTGAAGCAGGGCACTGCAATGCACCAAGGATCGCAAACAGCTTAAAACCCTCAGCTGATCAAAGCAAGGGTTCTCAACCCTGTGCAGGGGCCAGCGCCATGGGTGTTTGCTGGTGTGTGGGTGAGTGGCCAACACTGCTGTTCTCCTTGCCCAGGGGAGGTGGCTTCCGTGCAGGGCACCAGCTTTGATCTCCGTCAGCCCGTGGAGCTAGGGAAGCACTTGCAGAAGTTTCACCTGGATGGTTTTGACCACAACTTCTGCCTGCAGCAGGCGCAGGCTCGACACCTCGTGGCCAGGTAGGCTGGGACCCCAGCAGGGGTCCCCCACCCCTGGAGCCATGGGGCACCCATTCGGCCCGCCCCTTGGCATCCACCACCGGCATCTCCCCAGGGCTTGCCACCCGCCCACTGGCAGGGCCATGGAGGTTCACACCACCCAGCCTGGCATCCAGTTTTATACCGGGAACAACCTAGATGGCTCCCTGAAGGGCAAAGGTGCCGTCGCATACCCCAAGCACTCAGCTTTCTGCCTGGAAACCCAGAACTGGCCTGATGCCGTCAACAAGGTGAGCTGTCCCCCCACCCCTGGGAGCTGCTCGGGTCCTGTGGCAGGGGACCATACCACCACCACCCATGTCTCTGGGGTGTTAAATATATGAACAGAGTCCATTTGGCAAGGGGACACTTTGTAGACACCAGAACTGAGGTAGGCACAAGTCACAGCATCCTGCAACGTTAGGCAGGGGTTAGCCAGCACATCGGGGACTGGCCCCACACAGCCCAACTTCCCAAGGGTGCGGGGTCTGGAGCAGAAGACCCCACCAGGGCCTTGCCACATGCTCCCCACAGGGCCTGAATTCAACCAGGGGGAGGACTCATCCACTCAGCAAGTAATGGGCAGTTAAATACTGCCATTGGAAATGCCTGGGGGGAGCCCTGGGATGCCGCCACAGGAAAGCCGAGGGGATGCAGCCATGTCCTCATGACCCTTTCTGGTCCTGCGGCGTGCTCTCACAATCACTGATGTGCTGCTGCTTCTCCCAGCCCCACTTCCCCAACATCCTACTCCGGCCGGGCGAGGAATACAACCATACCACGTGGCTCGTGTTCAACACTGCTTAAGGAAAGGGGATGCTGACTCCGACCATCAAGAGGGGCAATTGCCTCCAGCAGGTTAGCCAGGAATTCTGCCAGGTGCCAAACGGTGCTTCCAAACCACCCTGGGTGATGCATCCCATTTGGGAACTTTTTTCCTCCTCTGTGGTTTTCCACTGTGGTTTCTGCTGGCTTTAACTCCTGTCACCACCTCTGCTGCTATTTGGTCTGTGCAAAGCTCTCACCCTCTGTCCAGCCTCACCCTGGGCATTAGGTTTTGTTTCACAGTAAAAATGCACTGAAAACACCTTGTTTAGGGACATGGCATGTCGCAGCTCAAACCACAGCAGGGGAATATCTGCTAATATTCATGTGGAGCATGTGGGAAGGCTGATAAAACTGTGGTTGTTCATTACAACATCAGCTATTCCAAGCGAAGTGCTCTGAGCTGTGCTGGCTGCTGCTCTCTCCCTGCCACTGACCTGCCCCGCAGCTCAGTGTCAGCTCACCGAAGGGTGCCCTGCCCTTCCCGTGCCGGGCACCAGGGCAGCCCTCACGGCCAGAGCAGCCCGGTCTGACAGCAGTGTTGCGATGGCATGGGTACGCAGTGGTCACGCAGAATAGCTTTGTGGAGGATGGTGTGCTGGGATTATCCCAGCTGGCCGCCCTGGTTCCTCTGACTTAACTCCCGTTTTGAAGCCAGCAGCAATAGTTGCACAAGCGCATCTTCTGCACTATGCCTTGTGGGTGCAGCCATCGAGTCCTGAATATATAACTGCAGGAGGAAAAACCATCATCTTAATGTTGTGTTTCCATGTGAAATATGTATCATCCCCAAAACCCTGTAATGGGCCTGTCTGATGAAAACCTCCACATTTCTGAGGTTTCATAAAAAATTGGCACAAGCCAGGGGATGGCAGTGCCATCTTATTAGGGAGCTTGACCCCTCCCCCCAGGGACATGGGGGTAGCCAGCCCTTGGGCCAGGCACCCCATACGAGGCATCGCAGCCTGACTCCCACCGTCTCCTGCCATGCTGCTGCCGAAGGGGCTGCACAAGCCATGGCTCCCGCTGGCAGATTGTGGTTGGGGCCCGTAGCACTCCAGCGTGCTTCCTCAGCTGCAGAGCTGTGGGAATGATCTTGTCCCCAGTGGAAGTGCCTGGCCATTGCGCTCGAAACATGGCAGACCATCAGAGTCAGTTCTGCCACCGACCCCCAAAACGAGAACCCCGCTGCTCTCCTGCAATGCACTCCCCGAGTACATGGATGTGCACAGTGGTCACGGTTATATGGCTGCAGCTCATACTGTGTAAGGACTGGTATCATTTGGAGAATAAAGCCCAGCTGCTCCAAGCTCAGGAAATGCTAGGCTGCAAACCAGAGGTGGAAGCACCATCACCCCTATGAGAGCGGGGTTTGCCCACTGCACTAGAGACCTTGGGTATGCGTCCCCTCACCCCCCACACTCAGCCAGGCTGCACAGGGCGCACACACCCTGCCTAGAGGGGCAGGGCCCAGGGTTACAGCAGCAGTGGTCACACAAAGATGCCCCTGGCCGGGCATCTTTTCCAAGAGCTCACAAACGCTATGGAATTTTTGGTGAAATCCTACCAAACTCAGGTGACAGCTGGAGCTGCGCAGCCTGCTCCAAGGATGATGACTGGAGCCGAGAAAGGCAGCACAGCCACGCTCAATTTCAGTCACCACAGCTGCACAGAAGCACGGACACCAGATTTGCTGCTGCTCCCTTGCTGCACCTCAGAAGTGCTGACTGTCCTTCATCATAGCCACAGGCAGGGCCACCCCCGCCAGCACAGCCCTGCCTCCTTACTCAGGTTCTCACTGCTAACCCTGGGTTTAGAGGAACCCCAGTTCCCTAAAGAAACCCAGGGTCCTCTGCTCCATCTTCCAGTGTCTCTGGGTACTGAAAAACAGGTACCAGTACAGCTGTCATGTTAGTCTGCAGGTTTATTGTGGAGTAGGTTTGCCTTAAGAGTACAGAAGAGAAAAAAACTGATCAAATTCCAGAGCAGCAGCATACGTGTGCCTCTCACGGGGCACGCTATAAACCGGGCAGGCAATGCACAACCAATAATGTTCCAAACACAAGTCACAGGCTTTGGGCATTTCTGCTAAATCACTGCAGGGCAACATTTGTGTCGCCCCCCGCTCTCCCATTGCAGCAAAGATGGAATTTAATGGATATTGCTGGAATATTGATCATTGCACCTGGCAGATGAAACACTAATCCCCATCACTGAGCACCATGGGAGTGTCTGGGCAGACACCAAGCACCACAACAGTTAGGACTAGGCATAAAGGCTAGACAATGCTGCAGCATGACAGTGTGCTCAGAATCTGCACTATTTACTCATACACTGAAAAAGCTCCATAAAGGCCTTGTTAACAGGAAACCTGTTTTTTGAAAATCATGGGTTACCCCAGGTGTGACCAAAGTTAATCTTGTAATTTTTCTTAATTCAGGATGCTCTGCTGCGGTTTACACATTGGAAGCACACTGACTTGACAGATTTCATCAGAAGCCCAAACGGGCCTCACTCTCCATTTCAGTGCTTGTTTACTGCCGAAACTGGCCTTTATTTCTGCTAGATATCCCATCGCAGTAGAAAAAGTTTGCTTTTTTCACCTCCACCTACCAGTTTGTTTGTTCACAGTCTAACACTGCTTCCAGTCTTTTGCTGTGATCTGTCAACAAAGTGCCCTACCCTGCAATTCTTGACTACAGAATGAGGACAAACACAGAGTCTGACATACCTATACACAAATAGCTAATCCTGCAGGTGTGTATTTGCTGTAAGAAATTAGCTTAATTCAAGAAAATCATCTCCAGGATCTGGGCTGCTTTAAAACCATACCAATTTCTGTGAAGCAGGTCAGAATTCCTGAGGTCAGCTGTGAGAATCTTTTATCTTAAGAAAGAAAGTTTGAGTGAGCTGCAGAAAGACTAATAACAGCTTTCTTTTGCCTCTCAAACACATTTTCCTAAGGTCCTTCAGAAAGTCAGTCAGAAGACCTTACATCTTCCCTCAAAAAAACCAAAACATGTCTTGAGACATTTTAGGTTATTAATATATATAATATTAAAAAAAATCTTAAAGAACTAAAAAATGCAACAAGTGAAAGTAGCAATCGTCAAGTTATTAATGATTTCTGTTATGTTTTAGAGGTTTCTGCAGATGCTATTAATTTAAAAGATGTCAGTGTTTTGAATAAAAGCTCATATTTAAATTTTTGGGCATCTGGTATCACAACTAGTCAAGCACCAGAGAGTAAGCTTTGCAGAACAATTGTATCGGCGAGAAAAATGAATGCCTGCTAAATATCATAAAGGAATAAAAAGGGCATATGCAAATTTTTAGCCATCTGCAGAGAGAGATGGATTTTAAATTCCATTTCAAAGAAAGCAGAAACTGATCCTTTCACCAAAGACCATTCAACAATAAATGTGAAAAGTGACGAGGTTTGAGAAGACACCGATATTAGTCATTCCCATTTTAGACATTTTTCATCCACATTACATGGCACACAGCTAAAATTACCCAAATGTTAACAGAAGCAGCAGGGTTACTACAGAGAAGTTTTTAATTAAAAATACACATTTTATTTCAATGTGCCAATAAAAAAGTCCCACATTTTCATATCACAGGAAGTTAATTCATACAATAAAAAGAGACCTGTGCTAGTCTATTGGTGTGACTAACTCAGAAGACCCAGATCATGCCAAGTTTTAGTTGATATACTCTTCTATCTACATTCTTACATTTACAAAGACACCACAAAATCCCTTATAATAATGTAAGCAAAATAACTTTCTTCCTAAAAGATTAACTTCGTAACTTTAATCCATTCTTTCAGGACTTGCACTTCTTTGAGGACTTCCTGATGGTGAACGACTGAAAGGAAAAGAATCCACAGTTAACATTTCAGTAGTCATTTGGGATTCACAAATACAGGAAAAAGCAACAGGAGGATACCTAGACTACTCCGGCACCCTTTAAGCACTGTTTTTTAATAAAATAACCAATCACTATTGACAAAGTTAATGGGTTGATGATTTAATGTTAGAGGTAATTTTTTTTTTTTTACTTTCATGTTTTTGCATTTCTCTACTGTTATTTTTATAATACAATTTAAATGTCATCATTGTAAAGTCATCTAAAGGGTACTACTAATAGCAACCTTCATGGAGGCAGGATACTTCTTCACTGCTCTGATACAGCAGCTTGTCAAAACCTGTTATGGTGATCACTCAGCATTTATGAGCATTTGTTCAAGTCCCTTGTGACTGTTTGTGAGGTTAGACTACATACAGACAGGTTTTTAAATGAAGCAAACCTAAGCGTAGAAGTTCTATAGGTATGTTAAAAAAAAAAAAACAAACACACCACCAAAAAAACCCAACTTGCAGGGCAGAAAGATGCCAATGCAAGGGACACATCACAGCAGGTCTACAGCTATTCTTACTAGGATATATCCCCTCCCTGCAAATCCTGAACACCAAAGTTGTAAAAATGAACTACTAAGAATTCAAACTAGGGAAAAAAAATGCTGCTGATTCTGTCACTACACATACACGCACACACACAGAGATCTACCAACTTTCGGGGTGGGGGGGGGGGGATCTGAGCAAGAGCAGTAAAAGTAACAGGCTCAATCTTCCACTCCTGACTGCTATGCCAGTGTACTCCACTCTATCTTCCCCAATCTCCCTGTAGCTTTTAATGAGACTCAAAGCTGATTCCCACGTTTATTCTGTGCTTTAAGCTCACCAGCAGAAAGTCGCTATGCAATAAAACTGTTAGTGAACTGAAATGAACACAGGAGCAGACAAAGGCATGACATAACACTGCTACGTAACAAGTATCCTGAGGAATTATTACCACATATATATTACCATATATAAAGCCACAATCACAACATTATTTCTGTCGAAGAGATCTCAGCAAAATACCTTTCCAGTATTTTCCTACAAGCAGCAGTCAAACTCCTCAGCAGAGATCACTGCAGATACTAAAATGCCAGCTCTACGGAGTCTATGTTATTAGTAGGGAGATCAACATACCTTCTCTTTGGAGATGGTGATCGGGACTTTGACCGACTGTCAAAACAGAATATCATCAATGCAGCTTAAAGGTCAAATGGAACTTTTATACTCAAAAAAATAAGTATCTTAGACAGCAATGGAATTATTACAGGAATCTAGCCAGAAGTTCTTTAAAATGGAAAAGTTTTCAAATCAAGTTTTACTCTGACAGGGAATCTCAATTCATTTAGTGTGGAGATTAATTTTAAGCAACTGTCTTCAGTAGAGAAAAGAGGAAAACAAGTGGTAGTACTGAGGTGATGCTTTGAGAAAAGAAACATCACAGATTACTGCTGTTTTATCAACAGCATTAATAAAGCTGAAGTTATTTATCTGATGGATAGAAAAATTTAACAGAACTGAGCACAAAGACAGAAAAAAATCAGTACTATGCTGGAAACTACAGAGTGTTGATGAAAACAAAGAGACGGGTAAGAAACATATTCTAAATAGCTGCAGAGAAAATGTTATAATCTCAGTCATATCGCAAACAGATTAGCTGGGCACCCATGTTTGGGGGATTTTTTTCTGAAGGACCAGACTGTTAATCATGCAAACCTAATACTGAATCCTAGATACTACTGCAGGCTTTATCTCTGTATTGCTTACCTCTTAGCCGGCGAGCCAGATTTTGATCTGCCATGAGACCTAGACCTACAAGAAAAAAAACACAGCTCAGCAGGGAAGCTGGTAGTGTGCATGCTCCCACATTCGAGACAGCAAGATTCACACTAAAATGTGTAAGAACTGTCATGTCGAACAGACAGAATCCTGCAAGCTTCCAGGGCTTTTCCTGCTAAGTTTCAGAAGAAAGCTTTTTAAATGGATGCTGCACATGTTGCTCTGTACTTTGGTCCCTGGCTGATGACCGGTGTTTGCTGATGCAGGTGGCAGGAATACACAAACAACCCAAATCCTGACCAGTATTTTCATAAAGCTAATAAAAAGCCATGTTCTAAACTTGCAAGTTGTCACTTGAGTGACATCTACCACCACAGTTGAAACTGGCTGCAGGCAGCATGCTCCTACAAATATCATCTTCTCCTCAGTGCACTTTATCTTATATATGCACTTGCTCAAAGTATTTCTTTAAATCTGTCTGAACTTAACCCTTGCAAAGACCGTCAAAAATGTCAGTCTTTGAGATGAGACTGCTGTACCGTAAGAATGCTAATACTGCCTAAATGAGTAACTGAAATTTTTAGGTTCCCAAAGGAAGTGTTCTACTCTCCACATTGAAGGCTTTCCACAGCAACTTCCAGATGTATGCTTTGACGCTGTCAAACCAGCGAACTTATGCAGTCTGTCTTCCTTATGAATCAGGAGCCTGTCTCTGGGTGCTATGCATTCGTTTGATTCTTCTGTAAAGAAACCATCTTTCAATTGCCTCGTGGAAGTTTAACAGTGACTTTATTAGAGTTAATCACCAATATTTTACCACTTCTCTGTACTTGTACATCTGCAATTTCCTCTGCCTCAGTCACTTAATCTCTACTTACAATGAAAGGTGTCACACAACAGTCTAGAAATTTCACTAAAAGCATCCTTTATGCTGCAGAAAACCATCCTGGTACTAAAAAAAGAGAACAATGGTGGTAAAATCAAGATTTTTCTCTTTGAGAGCCTGTTTTCTGGTTGTTTTTTTGTTTGTTTGGGTGGTTTTTTTTTTTGGTAGCTGTTTTCTGCCCATCACTGACAGTGAACAGTGATGAGCCATGATTAAGTCACATTGGAAGAACTGGTATTAAGATTCAACATATTTTAGCAACAGGTAGAGAAAGTGTACCTGATCAGTGAAAGGCATTACTCTACTGCCTCAGGAAATTTCCCTTCTCTTTTTACTAGCTTCTGGACTGTTTGTGTGAGCTTCTGCTCTTAACTAAGCCATCTTCTGGTCTTCATCTCTCCATTCCCTAAAAACTCCTGTCATTGCTTGCTGTTCCACTCTCACAAAATGCCACCCTCACCTTCCAGCACTGAATCTTCCATTTTCAGCTGTAGGCTTTTCTACCTACTCCCTTCAGCTAAAGCTTCCCTTTATTTGTTTGTGTTTCTTCATGGTTCACTTATTACATTATTTATTTCAAAAAGCAGCCATCAAACCAAAACAGTAGGCCCAGGAATGGGCGGGGGCAAGAGCAGTACCATCTCCTTCAGAGCAGAACTCCAATTTACTCTTGTTCTCCTATGACAGCTCGCCGAGGACATCCAATCAACCTACGTCAGCCACACTGCCTGGACAAGGTTGCACAAAGCACAAGGTGCATTCACTTACTATGGAAGGATTAAACCACAACTTAAGAGAACGAATGACATCCTGTGCTTCTTTAAAATTTGATCGTCACTCTTATGGCATGTTTGCTGGTACGAAATAATTCTGACAGGTGTTTATCTTAAATTTAATTCAGCTCCTGCAGACTGACACTTTGTTATTCAACAGAGTTGGAAACAGCTGTAACACTCACAGCACTAGCAAGCCCTTCAAGACTTCCCTGCCTATATGCATTAATGCTTTAACACACTACCGAAAGGGCATCCTGATTTCTCTGACAAATAATGGGAAGAATCCACAAGCTTGTGTGTGCTACACAAAGAAAAAGAAAAAAACTTTTCAGATTAATTCCCAATTTGTTTGCTATGTTAGCTGTTAATGCAACCTGATCAAAACAGTACTTGTGATGACTATTGGGACCTGGATATCAGTGATATGTAAAACAATAGTAAGAGAAAGAACAATCTTCCGCACTGCTTTTTAAAACTACAGACCCCTAAGCTAGTGGAGAGAAAAACAGCTTTTTCTGAAAATGTTAACAGCTGTTAGAAAACGTAAACAGACTTTTAAGCAACTTTTACTAAGTATCTGCAGTCATAGAAGAGATCTTACCTACTTCGGGGCCATGTAACAGATCTGGATCTAGATCTGGATCTTGATCTAGACCTGAAATAAAAAAGTTAAGACAAATTAAAACAAAATCAAAGAAGTCAACTCAACCAGAAGTGATGACAATTACAGCACAACTTATACTAATGTCTACATGTTGAACTTAAAACCTGTATGATCATTAGTTTCAAACATCAAAATTCATCATGCGATATGCAGCTGTGTAAGGTCACAAAACTGATGGTATTACCATCCTGTAAATTCAACTAGGATTATCACAAACTTTCTAAAGCATGCTAAAGTCTGATTTCTAAAGGTCAACACCTTTTGAAGTCTGCTATCCAATACCATTTTGAATCCCTTAGCTAAAATGAAAAACTACAACAAAAAGAAAGCACACAACCTATTAAAAATTACTACTAATTACCTTGATCTCTTCAAGGAACCCGATCGGGACCGGCGGGGAGACACAGACCTAGACCTACGAGGAGAAATGGACCGGGACCTACGATATGAAGCTGACCTGGACCTGCAAAGAAATCAATTAAAGAGTTATACAAGTGTAGCTTTTTCTAAGCAAAAGAAGCAAATAAGAATAAAAGGTAAACATAAGCATACCTCCTACCACGACTCCGACTGCGTGACCGAGAATACCTTCTCCCTCGGGACCGTGAACGGGATCGAGACCGGGACCTGGTTTTAGGTTAGACAAAACAGGTATCAGGAAACAGCTGCAGCAATCAGCGCACCTGAGGCCCTGCTGAAGTCAAAACTCATTTCAGACAACTAAAGAACTAGCATCTGCAGTTGGAAAAATCTCTGGGCCTACTTGTCTTCAGCATTTTACTACCTAGAAAAATGTTAAAAGCTGAATTACATTGCAGAATTACATTAGAATAGAAAACACTGTAATGCGTATTTAAAATAAACCTTGCAAGTTTGCAGGTCGACCCTCTTTGGCCCAAGGTCTAGCAGATCTAGACGATCTAGAAGTATCTATAGCCGATCGCTGCATCTAGGTGTTCTCTTCAATCTAACGACGATCAAACTGACAGCCCAATGAGCCAGGGTGAGGCTTGATTGACGCAAGAAGATTTTTCTAGGTGGGAATGTGGTCAATCTGGTGTTCCTCTTTCTAAACCGGAGGGGGGCCCCAATTGAAAGCCAAATTTACTGTTACGGCGATCACCGTCTCAAATTTTCTGCCCTTAAAGAATAAGGTGAAGCTACGTGTAGATGGCTCGAGGGGATCTGGCCTCTTATGCTGATCACCTCAAGGTCTAGGAGGATCTTAAGTGTCGGATTTGCAAGGCGCCTCAGCATGAAATCTTAAGGCTCGTGACATTCTGAATCAAGGCGACTGACTCAAACGAAGAAACCTGAAAGGTTTTGACCAGGTTGATTATTAAAATATTAACATTTAATAGAAATAGCAACAAATTGTCATATACACCTATACATTTATTCTAGCGTTAAAGTTTAAGAAAACTGGCGTAACATTCTGTTCTTTGCTAACAAGAGCTACACAAAAGTGCACTGGCGAAGCAACCCAGCCACTCTGGCCCCACACGTACCTGCTCCTTCTTCGGCGACTATAGCGGTGAAGCATAGTGGCCTTTCTCCCCACACTCATAGCATCTATCATTAGGGTCAAAGGGGCGCCGTGCAGGAGGCCTGTCGTAACGGGAGCGACGAGGCATGCCTGTTGACACTTCCACTCTAACCCTGGAGCCACATATCACCCTGCAAGAAATCCGTGATGGCTCCAAGTTAATCGTGACTGTTCATGGCAAAACTACAAGAAAAAGAACCGGAGAGAAAACCCCAATTCTCTCTCTGGTCTTAAACCGGCTGTAGCTCCTGCAAACATTTGAAATGCACACGTACTTC